GAGAATATTGAATGAAAACAGTCTTCAATGAGTCTTTTACTTGAAACTGTAAGACCTTGCTTGACTTTTAAGAGAATACATGGGTAAATACTTGGACACAGACTTGATTTGGACTCAAACATACATCTGAAAAAACAAGTCAACTTCATAATGGGTCAACAGCTGTCCTGTGTGACTCCTTTGCAACTTTCCCATGTCTCAGGACTGCCTGAGAACACAGAAGTTACTTCCTGATACACTTTTCTGCTATCCAAAGGATACTCATAAAGATATTCTCAGAGTAGCTTTGAAGCATCTGTTCAATAAACTCGGGTTTTCCTTTGGAAATAACCAAGTGTTTTAAAGTACAGCTCATCACAGCTGGCTGGATTTGGGGGTGCTCCACCTCACACATGGGAGTGATACAACCTTGGCTCTGTGTCACAGATGCAGGAAGCTCTTCTCCAGCCCTATCACAGCTATTTTTGAAAAGGAAAAAGAAAAATAAATTCTGCTGTGGCGAAGTACCATTCATCTTTCCCAATCTCACTGAGTAATGCATCCTGCATGAGGTATTGTCAAAAATAAATAAAAATGATTGACAGGCAGAGTTGAAAAAGAAGGAATGAAAGAAATGACATCAGTAAGTCAAATAAAGATTAGGCAAGACGGACAAGATGATAATGGATAAGATTTGCTGCCTAGGAAACCATTTACAACAAAGAATGAATGTTCTGTAAGAGGATAAACAGGAACTGCATATCCTTTGTTCCACCTGTGCAGTGGAGCAGGTTTGCTTTTCATATATAATACTGACTAGACTCCAGAGACACAAAATCAAAGGGACTTTTAACAGTATCGTTATTCAATCCAGGCCACTAGGCCAAGAGCCTTACTGTACACCACAGCAAAGAAAGACCACAGAGTTTAGAGTTGAATTGTTGCAAAAACTAAAATTGAAAAGGGAGATATATATTCATCATTTGTTGAGATGAAAGTCTAATCTTTGGGTCACTCCTTCAGCAATTGCCACCAACTAAGTTGATAGCAAATGTAAGACATTTCTAGGTGACATTGCAAAGGATTCTTTAGTCTATAAAGTCTTTAAACTAGTCAGAAAAAAATTTACAGAATTCCAAGTTAACAAAGACCCACAACTAATGGCCACTGAATAGAAAACAAAAGCAAAGATAGTACCACTTCATCAGCATCCACAGAAATGGGAATTAATAGAACTTTTAAACTATTATATTTAAGTGTTAGCAATAGAAATACATACTATTGATAAGCAAGATAAACTCTTGTTAGCTATTTGAAAGATCATAAGATGGGATAATCTTCTCAGAAATTTGTCCATTCATACTAAAGAGCCTTAAAAACCTAAACTGTTAAAAGGCACTTAAATATATCAAATTAAAAAATCAATTCAAAATAATTAAAATTTCTATAACCTGGAAACCAAGCAATTCAATGATCATATAATTTAGATTATGCAATTCACAGAAAATGTCATACACTCCAGATTGGACACTCTGCAACACCAATCCAGCTCCATGTCCACATGACTTCCCTCTACCTGAGCCATACTGAACTTATAAGTTAAACTCCCTTTCACATCATGAGTCCTCCTCTGACCTGCTGTGTCCATACCAGACACAGAACTAACAAAGGAACTCCACATGCCCAGATCTCATTGCAAAGATACAAACAATAGGAAAGATTAAGGTAGTATATATCTCAGTAGAATTCACCACTTCTAGAAATGTTCTCCACGGGGATTACTAGCTGAACCCCAGGACACAGAAGTTAAAAGAACAACCATAAACTCCACCTAGAAATTCAGTGAGTGTAAAGACGACACAGAAAAGCAGCTCAATGCAATTAAAGAAACAAACACCTCAGTGATGCCCAAGAAACACAAACATGTGGCTGATGGAAATGATGAAGACAATGCAGAATTTAAAAATGGAATTCAATAAAGACAGAGAGAGATGGAAGATGATTTAATCCTGTGAAGATGGAATTGAAAACCCCAATAGCCCAACTAGAAAACTCAAGGGAAGATTTATAAGCTGGATGAATCAAGCAAAAAATAGAATATCAGAATTTGAAGAGAAGTAAAGGATCTAGATGAAATGATCAAAAAGTATGGAAGAAATTTAACAAAACAGGATAGGAGCATACAGAACTTGGAGGGGAGAACCTTCAAATGTGATAGAGGAGGGAGAAGAATCCCAGATCACAGACACAGACAGAAGTGAACAAAACAAAGAAAGAGACTTGAACCTACAAGATAAAAACCACATGTCAAATAATGAAGGAAACCCATCATAATAACAGCTGAGTTCTCACTGGAAAGTGCAAAAGCCAGAAGAGCCTGGTGCAATGCAATCTGAGTCCTAAAAGACCACCATGGAACAACTTAGACTATTTTACCCATTAAAATCATCTGCCATAGGTGAAGGTGAAGGGAAAACTCTATGATACAAAAGAAAACTTAAGCAAAGTTGTATCCAACAGTCCAAACCTAAAGAATATACAGGAAGCAATGAATGAACATATAGCCAAGAGACTAAAAAGAAAACTGAACCTATAATTATTGAGAGACTGTAGAAAGAAAAACAAAGTTAGTTGCAAAACCACCAAAAATCAATACATATAATGGCCTCAATTCTACAATTAAATGATACAGACTAGTTAAATGGATCAAGAAACAAAATTCACCTATCCATTGTCTACAAGAAATATATTTTAGCTTAAAAAATAGGTACAAGTTTAGAATGAAAAGATGAACAAAACAGTGCCAATCAAATGAGGCCAGGAAGAAAATGGTCATCACCATCTCAATATCTGAGAGCTAACAGGGTAGAACAAATCAAACTCCAGAAAAGATAAAGGACACTTTACTCTTATTAGAGAACAATTAACAAAGAAGACAGCACTATCCTAGCCCAAAATGTGGAGTACCCAATTGTAAAAAATCTGCTGTACCTGATTTTATATTTTCTTTTTAAAAAATTATGCTACTGATATTTTTAATGTTCATTGTCCCTAGCAGTTAGGGAAATGTAAATCAAAACAACTTTGAGCTTTTATCTTATTCCAGTCAGAATGCCAAAGATCAAGGAACAACCCATGAATGCTAGAGAGGATGTTGGAAAAAGGGAATCTCCATTCACTGTTGGTAAAATTGCAAACTGGTCCAGGTTACTATGGAAATCAGAGTGAGGAATTCTTAAAATGCTACAAATAAATCTACCATTTGATCTAGATACGCTGCTCCTTGTTAGATACCCAAAAGACTCAACATCCTACTCCAGATACTTGCTCAGCCATGTCCATTGATGCTCTATTCACAATAGCCAGAAAATAGAAACCACCTTAATGTTCTTCAACTGACAAACAAATAATGAATATGTGGTAATATGTACACTATGGAATACTATTTGGTTGTGAAAAAATGAAATCATGAACTTTGCAGGTAAATAAATGGAACTAGAAAAGAACATAGTTAGGTTCCCAGACCCAGAAAAACACATTCTCTTTCATCTTCAGATGTGAGTACACTTCCTAGAGTACCTACAGATAAAAAGAAAGTAAAAAGGGGACCACCACCATGATAATGGAGTTGGGGAGTAACAGAAGGAAAAGCAGGGCCCAAGTAATCTGACTAGAAAAATGAGAAAAACTAAACACACTGAGCTGCTTAGTGTTCATCTGACTGAAAGGTACATTCTCAAGCTGTACCAACACACAGCAACTCAAGTCAGTACCAAGTTCCCATTCTCTCACCCCAGTGCCTTGTCTACCTGCTCAATAATGCAGTACCTTTCACCTTATAATTTGAGTATTGATATAAGAAGCAAACATCTCTCTCACTGATGGCTTTAACAATGCCTTCCATTAGACATAATTGACAGGATGACTCCTAAGAACCCATTTACCTAACAGAGGAAATGGGTGAAGGCATGTAGATCCCCAGCTTCAGTGAGGACTGGAGGTGGTAACCATAAGGCTCCAAACACACACAAGCATTTACTGGGGTGAGGAGGCAGAGAGGAGATGCCCGAGAGATACCATGTAGCCGCTGAGGGAGTAACATGCTGGAGCATTCTCCGGTAAGATAACATGGAAATACTTAGATTAATAAAAGTGGGTTAATAATTAAGAAAGCTAGCCAGTAAGAAGCCTGAGCCATTGGACAAACAGTTTATAAAGAATATACACCTCTGTGTGTATGTATTTGAGACTGAAGGGCAGCAGAATCAGGTGGAAGGAAAACTCCATCTATGTTTGAACTTTATCAGTGTACCTAGAACATGTAGCTATCCATCAGCTCTTAAAGTGTTACATAAAAAACAACCTTACTCAGTGGCTAATAACAATTGCTGCTCTTCCAGAGGCCCTGCATTTGATTCCCAGTACTCACACTCGGTGGCTCACAGTTGTCTTTTACCTCCAGTTCCAGGGAATCTGATGCCCTTGTGCCCTTTTCTGGCACCTGCACACATGCGGTACACTCATACACACATACACATACACACATACACACACACACACACACACACACACACACACACACACACACACACACACACACACCAGAATAAACAAACGCTCAAAATACTTTATTCAAATACTAGAGTAACTGCACTGAATCTCTGAATTGTAGAGATCCACCATCCAGGGGGAGCAGAAGAGATATGTAACAGATAAGGTTTTAGTTGGGGCGGGGTAGGGGAGGATGGGTGGGAGAAGGGAACTGGGATTGTCATGTAAAACAATCCTGTTTCTAATTCAAATAAAAAAGTTGGAAGAAAAACTAGAAAGCAGTTTGGGAGCATATTTCTATTATTTTCCAAATAAGCAGCAGCCAATTCCTAAATCAATAATCATTTTACCAAGTGTGGAATAGATAGCCTCAGTTCCTCACAGTAGGGTTGTCTCTCTCATCTAAGTAGAAACAATACAGATATAATTCTTTTTAAGAAAAAGATCTTAAAAATAAATTGGCCACCTACCACTGTGTGGACCTGGTCATAAGTGCTTTGGATTTTCCCGTTTACTTTGTTTTTACCTGAAAACAAGAAGGAAATAGGATCATTTTTATTCTTCTTACCCCCTAATCAATTCTAGCTCACTGTGGGGACAATTCCAAGTCTCACTCTCTATTTTTGGCATGTAGCATCATTCCCTATCATTTCAAACATTGATTCCAATGATGTGTGAGTACAAAGGTAAGGAAGAGAAGTTCAGCGCTCCCTGTGGCAGGCTGTGTCCACATCCATTGGCCTACTGTTAGCATTCAGGCATCTGCACGGCTCTGCCCTTAGGTTCCTAACAGAATACATCCTCAGCTGTGGTCACTAAGAGCACTCCCTGTGCACATTCCCGTATAAAAGGCGGGCCTTGTCCATCTCCTGTCTCTTTCGTACCACTCTTGCCCCAGGTCTCTGCCCGTCCCTCTGCCTGCTTCTCTGCCCCTTCCTTCTCCTTTTCCAATAAACCTCCCATGTGAGCTCTGATGTACAGCGTGACTCCTTCCTGCCGTTTTCTTTGTTTTGTTTTGTTTTTTTAAATTATAACACCTACCATCCCGGGTGATATTTACACATACTGGCATTTTATTTGTTCAGCTCAGCTGATGTTCATAGATCAAAGATATATTTCAAAGTACTACAATGACATCATCAAGTTGCTCATTATCTATTTTTAAAAATCACATTATAAAAATTCTGAAATAGCAATATTTAAATTCTGCTCATTTTGTATTTTCTTAAATACTAGAACATGGTAACTACTGGAAATAACTGGAAATGAATTTATTTCATATTATATAGCTAGTGAAGTGACTTAAAGTAGACAATTAGAAAAGAATAAAAGCTGTTTTGGATCAAGTGGATACTCACTTCCAACAATAGTCTTATGGTTGAAAATCTTGCTCCAAATTCCACCTTCTATGTTGTCTTTCACACCAAATTCATAAACAGTATTGGGCTTGAGATTTTCCACGATTGTTTCAGTGGCTGGACAGAGTTGAAAAATCCATTTCTTTTCTTTATCTTTTTCTCTGTATCGAATTGTATAATATCTGTTGGATAATGAGAATATGACATTTGAAAAACATGAGATATGCCAAATATAATCCCACGTTTCTAAGATTGATTGCACTTCTGTGTGCATGTATTTCTATTAGTGTATTGTACATGGGTATGCAGGCCCATGTGTGTCTGAACCCAGAAAACATTGCTGGACCTCTCAGGACTAGGGTTATAGGCATTTGCGGGATGCATGTCTCGTTACATAGGTGCTTCAATCTGCACTCTGGTCCTCATGAGTGGCAGTTAAGAGCTCTTAATTGCTGAGTCGCCTATCTAGCTCCCTCGGGGTTCTTAACACCCAAGGAAACTTCAACCAGAAGACTCCATTATGTGTTGGGCTATTCAGATTTTTTTTTAAGATTTAAGAGAACATGTGTGTTTTTGTTCTAAATGTTAAACTTCAAGTAGGGCTGCCATGTAGCATTGCAATTGGGTGCCAAAAGATCTTTAGAATTCTCAGTCCAATTATTAGAGAAATGAAAGAGAAAATACTTGAGAGTCATCCCTTTCCAGTTGCATAGAGAACAGAACCTAGGTGTTATAAACAGTGTACTCATTTCATAATTTGGAGAATTCAAGCCTTCCCATTCCATGGAGGGCATACATAATAGCTGCACATTTGATGATGGAAACACACAGGAAGTTTATATTACTTAAGGGCTTTTAAAAAATACCTTTATATATTTTTCCTCAAAATTCTGAATGATTTCCCCCTATTCCACACCTACCAAAACCAAATTAACAAAAATCCAGGTTAATTGGTTTTATTAATGAATTTTAAGGTGACTCATTCAAGCTAAAATCATTTACCACACATCCCCTAATGACTAAGTTTACTTGAATGCTCTTTAGTTTCTCTAGGCACACTTGCTTGAAAATACAAATACAGTTGCCCAGAATCTTAGGAAGTGGGGACCAGGACTGAAGATAAAGTGTGGACTTTGCAAAATAAAAAACACAGAACCTTTGATTAAAAGTATCTGAGAATATTCAGATAGCAACAGAAGGATATTAAGCCAAAATTTAGCACTTCTAAGTGTATGCAGGAAAGAACCTGTGCTGGGAAGAGGCCTTAGAGTTTAGAAACTGAGGGGAGAGCCTTTGTATAGATGGTCTGCTTTCTTACTAGTTGCAAAGGCTGGAAATACTTGCAGTCAGTCACTAGCTTGATTTTTTACCAGTAAAAGCTACTCTTGGGCTCCAATCCCCCATCCCAAAATAGCAGAAAGCCTAATGAGTGAAAGGGACTGTTCCAGCCAGAACACTCATTGCTACTAGTAACAAATGTTATATGATAGAGTCCCGTGTCTTGTAAGTCAAGATCCCAACAGTGATTTATAAAATGCATTGTTTGACAAGTATGCTACATGGAATTCTTGTTGCCCTCCCCTTTTCCACCAGGTCCTGGCTCTTAAAGGACCTTAGAGAAATGCTGGGAAGCTAAAATCAGAGCAGATGGGCCACCGCAACTCTGCCTTTTTAGTGCAGATGTATTCCTGAGGACTTAACTCCAGGCATGAGTCAGGATCCCATTGCTGGCGGAGCTGCCAAGGGTTAGATCCAAGGCTTTGTAATCAGCTTGATTTTATGTATAGCCTTCCAACAAAGAAAATGTGACAGATTGCTGTAAAGTTCTTACATTTCAATTACAATACCAAATTTTTCTCTTGCATACCAATTTTTTTCATGTATCCAAGCTTCCATGTCTCCTCCTCTACGATAGTCAAACTGGCCTTTCTCAACACTAAGTTAGTTAATAATTTCATGAGGTAGGAGTCTTGTAAATCTTAAAAGAGTAGGTGTTATGCTGAAAGCAGTAAATTGAATCCTTCTTGAGTTCAAAACAAACTGTGGACCTCTTGGGACTGGACACTGCTTTATAACAGTGCTGATACTCAGAAATTGCTACATAATGGCTGTGCAATGAACAAAATGGATGTCTAGTTTCCCCTCAGGTCATTTTAAAATTAAACTATAAGTGCTCTCGCTGCAGTATTTTAACCCTCAGCAAAGACCAATTTAAGCTATTGGGTCTACATTATATTTTACAAATTTTCGTAAGGCTCACTCAACAAAATAAACTATTTTCCTAAAACTGCCACAAGTTGAGGCAAAGTACAATGGAAGCTTGATGGGGAATATACTGTATATGCTCATCTTATTGATTATTAAATAAAGTACTTGTTTGGCCAATGAGACAGCCAGTTAGACGGGACTAGGAGTCAAAGAAGATTCTGGGAAATGTAGTAGAGAAGTGGTGATCCAGGCAGGAAGTGACATAGCAAGGAGACCCATATTTGAGCAAGGAGAAACAGGAAGTGTCCCCTTTTCCCCTTCGCATCCTCTAGTGGCAGGATGTGAGCCACCAGCAAGAGACAGCGCCAGCGAAAGGCATCCTCTATAAGATAAGTCTTATAAAACATATAGGTTTATGATAATTAAGACTGAGCTAACAGATGAGAATCCTAGTCATTGGCCAAGCAGCATTTGAACCTAATACAAGTTTCTGTGTATTAATTTGGGCCCTAACTCAAGCCGGCAGCTGGAGTAAAGCACACATGTGGCGGTGGGGCTCGGCAGCTTTTGGTGGAAAGATTTATCATAACAGAAGCTTACTTGTGTTGCAGAAGATCTGTGATTCTTAACTCCTTGGTTCCAGTTAGTCTTTTGGTAAAATCTTAGCAAAGTAAGACTATAGAGTCAGAAGAGGCTTTACAGCAGCTACAGCTGAGTAGTCAAACTCTTCATTTGTTTTCCGAGTCCCAAGCTATGCTTCTGATCTACCCCAAATTCTCTTTCTGCACTGGTGCTTGGTGAAAGTAAATGAAAGCAAATGTAAAATGACCCAGAATCAGAGAACAGTCAACTTGGTATTGTTAAAGGCTTTTAACTTGTTTTACTGTGTATTCACACTAACATATAGTCAACATTTTCCTCATTGTCTGAGAACCTTCAGGATCAAATGCTGGCTGTATGAGTTTTTACAAGCCTCCTACCTCATGCAATTATCAATGTAGATAGTGTTGAGAAAGGCCAGTTTGACTATTATAGAGAAGGAGGCATGGAAGCTTGAATAGATGAAAAATTTGGTATGACAGAGAAATCATATAGAGAGAGCATGCTGGAGCACGCTGATGCTCAGTTGCAATAGAAGCACTGAGCCTGCAGGATCAGGAGTAGAAGGCTATCCTGGGCTACATAGCAAAAGCCTCAGGAAAAAAATCATGGTGACTTGAAAAGTAGGTAGTGGCTTGACTATTAGCAAACTGCCAACAACAGCATGACCTTAGGGGAGCTGTTCCTTCATACAAATAAATTATCTCAGAAGGTTTTCCACTAAACACCTTTTGAGACTGTTTATAGAAATTTCTTTCATCAACAGATTAAATATTCTATTCTAAAACCCTCCCTGAGGCAAAAACTAAATTTGTGATGCAGCTGACAGTGAACTATACTTAGGGGAAAAGTCCAAAACAAAATTAATTTATTCCTTAAAACTTTCCCATCGTTAGCCACTTTGTGCACTACACTTTTTCAGCAAGACTTGAATTTGACATAACTATTTCCCAAAACATGGGCACTATATATTTTCCCCATCCGTATATCAAAGAATTCCTCCCAGCATCCCCTCTGTTAATGTTCTTTCTTTGTAGTGACTGGACAGAGATTCTTCTCTCATCCCATCCTTTCAGTTCTATCTCCCCTTTGATTTCAGGGGAGTGAACTTGTTGGTAATTTATACCACTTTCTTCCTTTGTAAGCACATCAACCTTTCCTTTGACCTTCCAAGGAAGCTGTGTAGGTGTTGTGAGATCTACTAAAGCAATCATAAAATGGATGCTCTCTGAACCCTGTCACTGTATTTCCCTACAGGCATAGCCTACCTTTTTTCACCTTCTTAATAATAAAACTGTCCACATCCCATCATACTCTGGTGTGTGGCATCTTTAGCAGACTGAATCTTCTAATGATAAAATACAATGAATGAACTAAGCTTCTATAAGTTCCACATCTATCTTAAAATCTTCCCTGAGTCCAGTCCTTGCATAATCCACATTTCTGTGAACGTCTGGGTCCCTTATCCCTTCATGTCTAGTCTTGTTTCAGACCCATGTATTCCTCCCCACATTATTTCTTGTGTACTCATTTTTCTATTTTTTTTTTTTTTTGGTTTTTGGAGACAGGGTTGTTCTGTGCAGCTTTGGAGCCTATCCTGGCACTCGCTCTGGAGACCAGGCTGGCCTTGAACTCACAGCGATCCGCCTGCCTCTGCCTCCCGAGGGCTAGGATTAAAGGCGTGCACTACCAATGCCCAGCCGTCTTTTCTATTCTTAGAAAGCATAAATTTAGCACATTATCTTTGAATGCTTGTGGTAATTTTCAATCATCATCTGACCAATAATTCTATAGAGAAGATAATAGCTTAGAAAATACTACTGGATTTAGTAATTAATAGATCACTGATGACAAACACATCTCAGTGAAGAAGAGGGAAGGGGATGCGAGCCAATAAAAATGGATGGGGATGTTGTAAAGATCAAGAACATAAGAATAGCCTTAAAGATTAAGAAAAGAGATTGAAAAGAAGTGTGGAAGACAGAACCGGATCAAGAGAATGTAGGTGTGAAAACCTTGAGTCTATTTGTACGCAGGAGGCAGGATACCAGTGGCAATGAAGGGGCAACTGAAAGAGAGAAGAGACTGACCACCAGGGAGCCAAAGTATAAAAGGATGTGGGAAGAAATGGAATCAGGAGTACTGAAGTCAGAAAATGTGATCCTGGGAGGAGAGATGAGAGCAGAGGTCAGGGTGAATTTGGGATGGAGGGTTAAACTGTCAGCAATCAATCTAGATTTCCTCAGCATTGCTGAAGGTATTGTGGACTAAGGCATGGAAAAGAGCCAGGGAACATGGCCAGTGTGCTACTGTCAGAATGTGGGTAGCAGGGAAATGCTTTAGTTGGGACTGTCTATGTGGGAACAGAGAAGGA